TTGTTAGTTTAAAGGTTGTTTTGTCTGAAACTATAATCATGATTCCTGCCTTATTTTGTGTTCTGTTCCTTTGAAAATTCATTTTTCATCTTCTAACTTTGAGTCTGTGAGAGTCCTTTGCATTGAAATGTGTTTCCTAGAGGCAAAAAATTGTAGGGTCATGTTTTTTTTTAATCCATTCTGTGTTTTCTCAGTTGTGCATTTAGTCCATTCACATTCAAGCTGAATATTGAAATATTAGAGTTTATCCCTGTCATGAGGCTTTTATAAAGATCTTTGTTGTTACTGCTGCTGTTTTTTGTTTGTTTAATTGTGTGTTTATTTTCTTATAATTTGGGGATTGATCTATGTGTGTATTTTCAATTTTGCAGTTACTTTTTAAATTTGTTTGTTGCTTTTCTTTTGATTTTGTGGTTGATAAATATGTGTGTTTTCAATTTTGCAATCATGATGCATGCTGTGTGGATTCTCTGTTTTCCTGCATTCTTGAGAAAAGCTTGATCATTCCTTTTTTTCTTTCTTCTGTGGTTAATAGCTTCTTAAGCATCTCTTGTACTGCTGCTGGTCTGCAGGCAGCAAAACCTCTTTGGGATTGAATGTCTGGGAAGGAATTTAATTCTCCATCACTGATGAAGCTTAGCTTAGCTGGGTAGGAAATTTGGGGTTGGAATTGTTTATCCTTGAGAACTTTGAAGACTGAACTCCAGTCTCTTCTAGCCTATAGTATTTCTGTAGATAAGTCTTTTGCTATTCTAATTGGTCTTCCTCAGTAAGTAGTCTGACCTTTTTATCTCACTACCATTAAGATTTTTTCTTTTATACCTACTTTGGGTAAGTGAATTACTGTGTGTCTAGGAGTTGGTCTTCTAATTTGATGCCTTGAAGGGATTTTCTGAATCTCTTTTGTTTGGATGGTCATGTCTCTGATGAGATAAGGGAAATTTTCTTGGATAACTTCATGGAATGTTTGTTCCAAGGTGGTCTCTCTGTCCCTTTCTGCCTCAGGCATAAGTTCAGTTTCTTAATATAATCTCACAACTCTTGGAGACTTAGTTCTGTTTTTTAAAGCTTCCTTTCTATGTTTTTAATAGTTTGAGTTAGTTCCATATTTTGGTCTTCAAGTTATGAGATTCTTTTTTCTGCTCAGTTAGTTCTGCTTTCCACACTTGTCTGTTTGTTATTTATTTTGCTTACTGTATTCTTTATTGCCCTCATCTCAATTATCAACTCTTTCATACTTTTATCTTGTCTTTTTCTTTTTTTTTTTTGAGTTGGAGTTTCACTCTGTCGCCCAGACTGGAGTACAGTGGCCGCTCCTGGCCACCACAGCCTCGACCTGCTGGGCTCCAGCAATTCTTCCACTTCAGCCTTCCAAGTAGCTGGAACTACAGGGGTGCGCTACCACGCCGGGCTAATTTTTTATTTATTGTAGAGATGAGGTCTCGCCAAGTTGCCCAGGCAGGTCTCGAACCCGTGGGTTCAGGCAATCTACTCACCTCAGCCTCCCAAAAGCATGGGATTACAGGCTGAGCCACTGAGCCCTGCTTATCTTGTCTTTTTCTTTTCTGTTTATTCTTTCCAATAATGCCTTACTATCTGGTTTTGTAGTTTGAGATAAGTCACTCTGGGGATCTTCATTGTTTGAGTTCAGAAATCTGTATTGTCAGGTGCCATCTTTCCAAGGGTTGGGGGATTAATTGTGTTCCTCCATTGATTCTTCTTCATTTGTGATACTTCCCCCCACCTTCCTCCCCCTCTTTAATTTCATTGCTCAGTGATAGGGGAGATAGCTTTCACTTCTATTTGCTCAATCCCCTATTCTTCCTAATGTAGATCCTCTGGATTTGTTCACTTTTGAAGCTGGACTTGGACTGTCATTTGCAGTTTTGAGATTTGTTTAAAGTGTAATGGAGGAGCTATGTTCAGGAGCTATCTGTAGATCACTGTATCCACTGACTGACGCGTAGGTCCCCTGGAACTCACATCGCACGACCTTATGCAGTGAGAGCATATGTATGCCTCTTGAAACCAAAAAGAATAAGAAAAAGGAAAATAAAGGAAAAAGGAAGAAGGGAGACCAAAAGAAGATGAAGAGATAGAAGGAGAAGAAAAACAGACAGGAACACAAATGAACAGATAAACAAACAAACGAAAATAATTTAAAAAAACCAAAATATTGAAAGTGCATGCTCCCTCAAATATACCCATATACTTAAAAAAAAAAAAAGAAAAGGAAGAAAAAAGGGGAAGTCAAATTAGAAGATACTCAGAAAGATATGTGTGGAGAGAGAGGGGAAAAAAGAGAGAAAGAGAGAGAGAGAGAGATCACTTTTATGGCCATTTCTGGAACTCCAGGTTCCTTTCCCTCCCCACCCCTTTTATTGACCTGTCCCCAGCAGCTGCTTTTGGCAGCAGTAGGGAGTGGGATCCAGTCTCTACCCCCTCCCCTCTGCACTTAACCTGCAGGCCGATTGGGCTGCTCTCCACCTCGGTCAGATGCCCCATGGGCTGCTGGGGAAATGGGGCATGACTAATATCAAGACTCACCCCACCTTGGCCTCTGCTAGGTATTCCAATCCAGCTATGTGGACTTTGTGCTTGATCCAGTGTGAGGGGTAGGGTGTCTGTCTCTCCTGTGTCATGTACCCAGAGTGTCCTCCCTGGACAAACAATGGCAATCCTAGAGGTATGTGGAGATCACCCCTCAGTCTCAGGATGCAGGCTGCCCTGAATTGAGGGAGCTAGAGGAAGTCTCTAGAGAAAATGGTGAGGGCCCACATCTTAACCTCTGGTAGGGCTCAGCTCCAGCTCTCTTCCTCACGTCTCCTCCTTGGTCCCCGCTGTCAGTGCCTGGCTGTTGCCACAGGCAGTATGATGGTGTGGGCTGGGTGCCAGGTGCTGAAAGACTGATTATCTCTGCTGTCTTCTCCCAAGAGATGCTCTGAGAATGGCAGATATCCCTGTACACTGGCAACAAACTCAGAGCAGTGGTATGTTGGAGTCACTTCTGCAGAGGAGCCCTGGGTGCTTGATCCTGCATCTCCCCTCAGTCAGACATTTGCTCACCCACTTGCATACACCTATGCAGGCAGATTTGTCCTTATGGACACTCACCCATGCAGAGACTCTCACACTCCCACCAGTTCCGTTGCCTTCTTGGATTCTTCCATACTTTCAATTTGTAACTTTTAAGATGAATTAGTTCTGGAAACCTTAAGTATAGCATGGTGACTATAGTTAATGTACTGAACACTAAAATTTGATAAGAGAGTCGATCTCCATTGCTGTCATCACTCACACATAAACATCATTTTGTGAGATGATAGGTATAGTATTTAGGTTGATCATGGTAATCATTTCATGATATATAGCTATATTAAAACATCATACTTATATCTCAAATATATATAATTTTATTGGTCAATCGTATCATCATAAAGCTAAAAACATTTTTTAAAGTATAAGTGAATGCCCCATATTAAAATATAGATACATGACAATCAAATGAAATATTTAATCTTGGATTGGATCCTGAACATGGAAATAATTGCCATAAAATACACTATAGAGACTAAGGTACTTAAAAGTAAACAGGCAGAGTTGCCCCAACTTACTTTCAAATGGTACAGACAAATAGTATATAAATACATATACATACAAACATATGGACAGAAGAAAATATAAAGCAAATGGGACAAAATATGAATAATTAGTGAATCCCTAAAGAATGTACAAGACTTCCGACAATATAAACTTGAAATTATATCAGAACAAAAATTTACTTTACATTTTGCTTCAGATATTTGTCAGGCAGTCCATTGCTTAAAATGTCATGTTATTTTTTTCAATTGTGAGAGGCTGCATTAGGAAAGTCATATCAAAAATGGTGTGACCTTCCATGCCCCACCTTCCTTATTCGCCTGATCTCATCTCAAGCAACATTTTTTGTTTATTTGTTTGTTTGTTTGTTTCCACAATGAAAAAGTCCTCAAAGGGAAACATTTGCTGATGTGGAAGAGGTAAAACAAACAACAACAAAGAAAACCAACAGAAGCACCAAAAGGCATCACAATTTATGAATTCAAAAACCGTCTTGAGCAGTGGAAAAAGTGTCACAATAAGGATATTACATCAAATAAAAAAATACTTTGAAGGTGTTGAAAGTGAATAAAGCATGTAAGAATAAATACACAATTTTTTAAATAATTAAACTCCTTGTATGAATTTTGGGGGTACTTTTCATCTAAGCTGTATCATCTCCTCATATTCTACCTAAAAACCTATTGTAGTCTGGACTTTGACTTTACTCACATGAAGTGTTTTCTTTTTCTGCCTCTACATTCCATATTACTGTAGTGATGCTTGTTGAGGTGAACTGACTTTACTCTCAAGTTATAGCTAACAATATACAAGCATGACCCCTAGTTCATGCTGTAATCATTCATATATTTGAATGTGTGCATGTGTTTGTGATTATATTCTTCTTTTCTTATTGTTATTATTTGACTCAAGGTCTTACTCTTTCACCCTGCTGAAGTGTAGTGGCATGATCATGGCTCATCACTATCTCAACTTCCTGGACTTAGATGATCCTTCTACCTCAGCCTCCCAAGTAGCTGGACTGCAGACATGTACTACCACACTATTTTTCTTTTTTCTTTTTTTTTTGTAGATATGAGGTCTTGCTATATTGTCTAGGCTGGTCTCAAACTCCTGGGCTCAAGTAATCCTTTTACCTCTGCCTCCCCTAGTGCTGGAATTATAGGCATAAGCTACCATGCCCAGTCAATCTTTCCATAGCTCATATATATTTATATATTTAGCTCTTGTGAAAATTTTGGAACCGTTATGAATGCTTTCTTGTTTTTTGTTTTGTTTTAGGAGACTTTATAATTGTTTACATACAAACACGAGAAGAAAATCTCACAGACATTTACTTACTAAAATTCTACTCTCCAGTTAGAATAATACAAAGTTCATGTACATCATGGAGAAGTTCTCTAGTGTTTTATTTCTTTTGTAAGGGCAAACAACACCTTTTGGAAGCCTGCCTTAAGTTCTTTGGTCCTAAGTGCATAAACTATAGGGTTGAGAAAAGGGGGAATGATGTTATGCAGCACATTGAGTAGAACTGGAATCAAAGTAGCCTTCATCTCTGCCAGGTGAGTTACTGAAATCACTACAACAACAGTGTAAAAGAAGAGGATGAGGATGAGATGAGAGCTACAAGTACTTAGAGCCTTGGCTGCAGCTTCAGCTGAGTTCAGTCTAAGTACAGAGTGTAGAATCAAAATGTATGACAACATAATAAGACTTAGATCACTCCCCATTCCAAGCCATGCCAGGACCAACTGGCAAATGCTGTTTGGTCTCCTGTCATCACAAGCCAAACTTGTGACCCCAAGGTTAGAGCACAAGCAATGCTCAATTTCATTCTTGGAGCAATAATCACGCTGAGCTGCAAGCACAGGCACTGGAATAACAAACATGCCATTTCTAAGCACCATGAACAAGGTAGCTTTTAAGATTAAGGAATTGGTGACAATGGATGGGTAGCGAAGAGGGTGACATATTGCCATATATCTATCAAAAGCCATGCAGAGGAAGATACCAGACTCCATGCCCACAAAACAATGAATGGCATACATTTGAGCAAAACATTCAGGGAGGCTAATGACCTTGGCTTCCAACCAGAAGATGGCCAGAATTTTGGGCATAATGGTGGTGGCCAAGCCCATGTCCACCACAGAGAGGATGCCTAGGAAAGTGTACATGGGCTGTTGAAGAGAATGGTCCTGGGAGATGGTGATGAGAATGAGAACGTTTGCACCAATTGCTGAGAAATACAGTAGTGCCAGTGGCAGGGAGAGCCAGTGCTGCCAGCTGTGAATGCCTGGGAATCCCAGAAGAATAAACTCAGAGACCTGGAATTTGGAACTATTGGAGACTTTGAGAGATACAGACATATTTTTCTATGAGAAAATATGTTTTCAAAGTTGCTTCCTCTTTGAAATGCATAATCACCATTTAACATTATTTTAAAACTGTCTTCATATAGTATATAGTATAGTTCAGTGCTATAGCAAAGTAAATTCCGTGTTCCATCTCTTATAGTAATATAAGATAAATTTTTAGGGAACTTTGAGGTTTTTAGCAGCAGAATGTAAATTTAAAAGTCACAATTGTCAGTGTTGACCATCCAAGGAAATTTTAGCATAAATCTCAAATCTCTGTTTGTATTGTCTTCAGTTATCCCATGTTGTAACCACCACACAAATAGACTTCTAGTTTTTTTCTAAACTTTTCTTTTATCTTCGGAAATTATGTGTTTTCTTCATATTTTTCTTAATGTTACTTCACTTGGATGTTTATTAACTAATAATGGCTAGATTTGTTTAAATGCAGAATTATGGGAGATGGAATTTATAGCTGAATCTTTCCAAGTTGATATAGATGTCCAGTAATGTATTATATAGCCTTTCACATTTTAGGTAACATGCATTTATAAAGATTTGCAGAAGTAAATTATTTTGCAGATAGGAGGATAGGTAGCTTTTCTTTGATATTATATTTTGTGTGTACTTCTGGAGAGGTTGCAAAAGAGTAGCTTAAAAGGAATATGAGTGATCATGGCCGAAATTTCAGTTTAAGGAGTCATTTAATGGAGACATATCTTAGCAAGTTTTTTTTATAGCTGTGTATTAGAGAACCTGTAGAGACATATAAATATGGGATTTAGGTACAATAGTAAGATGCTTTTTATTATAGTGAAAAGAATACCATACTAGATCTATTCTCAAAATTTTAAGTGTACAATACAGTATTGTTAACTATAGACTCAAGGTTGTACAACAGATTTCTAGAATTCATTAATCTCATAACTAAGCTTTATACCTATTAAACAGCAATTTTGTCCTATTTAATAAACAAGAATTCTTCATTCATAATATTGAAGAAGCTGTAATGAAATGATGAGAATCATATTCAAAACTCATGGTTGATCATTAAACACCACTGCTTTTCATGTACTTTGTATTCTGTTTGATGGCCCAACCAGCAAGTCTGAAGCTAGCAAACTGTTGGCTTTTCCACAAACAGTTGCTCTCTTATTCTGTTTATTTCTTTATTTTGTTTCACTGAAAGCACCCCTTCTATTCAGTATTATTACTCTTGTGACCTTCCTGGAACAATTGTTTCTCAATTCCCCATATCTCTTTCTTTCTGGCAATATGATCTTTCCAATGTTGGCATTCCCTGGTTTAAAATAATTCATGTCTTCATACATTGTTTCAAATAAAGTTCAAAATTTTTTATTGTGCATAAGGCATGCTCAGATATGATACAAGTCAAAAAGAGTATCATCTCTTTTTTTAATTTTCTTATATTTTATATTCTAGATACCTATTTGTTCTGTGCTAAAATTGTAAATTTTCCAAGGAATTTCATTTGTAAACTTTGTAAAATAAAAATTTAATTTCAATTTTTGCTATTGTGGAAGCTATTTCAGGTTTTTAAGCAAGAAAGAAGAAAACTAAAACAATATTACCAAAGTTTTCAAATTATGTCTTTAAAGTTGGTTTAAAGTTGCTAACAACTTAATTATATTGATTTTGTGTTTATTCTTTGTATGATTACTGTTAAGTACAAAAGAATCTGAGAAGAAATAATATTGTCCTATAGTACCACCAAGAAGAGAACATTCATATTAGTAGCTAGATGTATTTCTTTTCAGATGTTTCTTCTGCGTCTATGTTTGAAAAAACATATACTCTCTAATGATGGAATAAATCATCTTTATTAACAGTGGATAAAACTTGATGCAGAATGCAGTCACCTAAATGTAATCATAAAAAAGTTAATGAATAGAAAGCATAAACCAGCTTGGAGATAAACCTAGTTTTACTTGGAGCTTAAATGAGAGTTCTGAAGGAGTTCAACTTAGTAGCTCCTTCTAAGAAACTTGGAAGCATGTGACCCATTTGACTACACAGGGCATGTTTTTTCCAAATCCTCATTTTTTACTTTGATTCCAATATTCGACGACTTTTGTATTTGTTCTGATTTTCTTTTAAATGTTCATATTAATTCCTGCTTGATATATGTGATATGATTAAGAGAAGTGAGTTTGAGCTCTCAAAAAAGTAAATATGTTAATGTTTTTCACAATTAGATTCTACCATGAGATAGAATGTGACTCTCCTATGTAAAACATGCAATATATTAACCCTACAGATAATCTGACAGTATTTTTATAGACAAGGTAATTTTGAATGTATAATACAAGCTTGACATTTTCTAATTCTAGCCGCAACCATCATTGTATAGACTCTCCAAGCCTCAAAATTCTGCAAGAGAAAAGGTAAAGGCTAGTCTTTTTTTTTCATGATGTAACCAAAACAACATAAAATTTAAGGTAAGGCATCAAATGATCTGAGATTTAGCCAATGTGACCATGACAAGATTTTTGTACTTACTGTGGATATGATCAGGGACTCAATCTGAGGTCTTAGCAATGACAGGAGTTTTCAACTGGGCAAAGACAAAACCTTTACATGAGATGAAGAAGCTCAGATGAAATGAAGATGTGTTCTCAGCTGAGATATGGCACAGAAATTATGAACTTCTGGAATTTATGGGTTGTAATAGGCAACTCAGTGATGGAAGGATAATAGACCTCCCTTGGAGACATGAGTAGAGAAAGCCCCACAGAGAAGGCTTGATTCTTAGGATGTTAAATCCCAATAGAGTATGAACCAGATTATTTCAGCAGCATGCCTTCTATTAATGTAACCTGAGAACTTGCATAGACAAAATAGTCATTTATGAAACCAAGACTGGCCTAGAATGGGTGGGAAATTTTATTAAAATATTTGAATGGTTTTTAAGCCCCCAAATTCAGGGAATTCTAAATATTGTGCTTAGGAAATTTCTTTAATATTTTTTGTTTAAAAATATTTATTTATTTTAAAATATATATTGAGTTTCTACCATGTTTAGAAAACATAGTAGGCATAAGGTGATCAACAAAGCAGTCATAGATCCCATTCTCTTGAAAATTGTTATCTATGGGCTTAAGGTGGTAAAATACTAAATACAAAACTAAAGCAAACATATACACTGAGATTAGTGCTAAAAGACAAAAGTACCCAGGGATGTGAAAGCAGATGAAGTAGAAAATTAATTGATTTGTTGTAGAGAGTATTTCCTGAAGGAAAACTAGTCTGATCTGAGGCCAAATATTTGATTAGGAGTTAACTATGGTGTGTGTCTTGGGTTGGGGATGGGAAGTATTTGAGAAATTTTTAAGTGCTAAAATGAGAGGGATCAAAGTGTATTTGAGGTAAAAATAGAGGATAAATATGGTTAGAACCCTCAAGATGTGATGGATCTTGGGAGATGGTGTGAGACGATGCTGTTAAGGTAATAGGGCCTGAGACTTGTAAAAAAAAATGTTTAAATATAATGGGGCCACTTGGACATTTTCAAGAATCAGTCAAGCATAGTAGCAATGTGGAGACCAGATTACATATGGCAAAAATCAATATAAGTAAATCTGATGAGCAGTGATGACGATACTCCAAGGATGAGGTTGCTGTATCTTCGACTAGGATGGGCTAGTAAAGATAAAGAGAAGTGGATGGTTGTAGAAGTCATACTGGAGGTAAACTTGATATTATTTATGACCTAAAAATAATTGTAAGGTCTTGGTATGTGCAGTGAGATGGAATGTGTCATTACTATACCTAAGGAAGATTAGAGAAGAACTCAACTGTAAGAGAAGATAGTATGTCCAGATGAGGGCATGATGAATGTAAGCTTCCTGTCTTTGAGTTGTCCAAGTGAAGCAACATATGGAAAAGTAGTTCCAGTGAGTGAAGAAGCAATTTGAGAAAAAAATGGAATGAATATTTGGAAATCATTGGAATATTTGAATTGATGCTGTTGGCACTGATGGATTTCCTAACAAGTGAGGATAGCAAGAGAAAGAAGGAAGTCTAGCACTTGGTTTACAGGAAACCTGACCTTTAAGGTCTAGGTAAATGTTAAGAGAGAAAGAGAGTCCAAAAGCAACCTAATTAGGAAGAAAACAAAGAGTTTTTGTTGTTTATTTTTTAAGTAGGAAAGGCAATGGATTCATAGTTTTACTCTGCTATCAGATACTTAGTTTAAAATAATTTTATGGATTCAGCCTCTTGAAAGTTGCATATAATGTTGAAAGAGTCATTTATTTTGGGAGCACATGAGGAAAAGTCATACTTGGGTAGCTTAAAGAGTAAGTAATATGCTAGGAAATAGAAAAATAGGAACATGAAAAATTTTAAGGAAGTTTATCTAAGGAGAAAATATAGGCCAGAAGTTGAAAGTTCTTGGGATCTGAAGTTTTTGAATTAGAAAATAGAATGGTAGCTATCAGAGCTTGGGATGGGGGATAAAAAATGAAGAGATGTTGACCTAAGGGTATAAAGTTTCAGTTAGGCAGGAAAAATATTTTTGCGAGAACCTTTTAAAAAAACATAATGAAATAGTCAATAATATACCATGTATTTCAAATACAGAAAAGAATAGACATTCTCGATGAAAAAAATAAGGTGATGGATATGTTAAATAGCTTGATATATATACATATATCAAAACATCACATTGGTTCCCAAAACAATAAACCTAATTATTGAATTTTAAAATAAAATATATACAAAAAAAATTAAAGAAAAAAATAATTTCTTGTTTTAAGATGGAGAAAAAGAATGCATGTTTAGGGACCGGTATAAGTCATTTGGTAGACAGAAAAAATAGATTAGCAACAGTGCAGAAAGAATTGGATAAATGACAGCATATGCTTGCTTAGAAAAACCAGGAGTGTTGAGAGCCACCTTCCATAACTCAAATGCAAGAATATAACTCTGATAGGAAGAATGATATCTGTCATTTAACCTCAGGAAAAAGGGATAATATGTTACATATGTAGATGGAT